GATACCCCGCGCCTACAAATTTGTTCGCATGCCGGGAGTGTAGGGAGGACTCGACCTAAATAAAATGCAAATTTGATGCAAATGTCGAATGTCGTGTTTCACCACACCCACACTCCTGGTAGATATATGCATGTCGTTCGTAGTTCATTCACTGCTATCTGAGACATACACAGACGCAGTGTACAGTCAACACCGTAGAACAACCATGTTCGAAAGTACAAACTTTCAACTCCCCCAGTACCCACCGTAATACGCGGTATACAGGGCCGGTCGTGGGAGGCGTTCAGACGGTCTGCAAGTACCCCAACACAGGGGTTTGGGTCTACTTTCCTTCTAGGGGTCGAACTGAGAGGTCTCCCTAAAGCTCGCCCCAGCTCCATGATCCCCAGCTCCATGTGATGCCCTGATTCATCTCTCCTCCAGCATTTTTCTCAGCTCTTTCACGTCATGCGAGTTGTGGAACCCCAAGGTGAAGGTCCCGATGATGTTCGCCGACGGCCGCTCCTGGGTCACACCCGGTGGGTCACACGGTTCGCTCGCGAGACGGGTCGACCGTGGGCAGAGACCATGAAGATATCATGGTGGTTGAACATCCATGAACCTCCGGCCTGTGTGCATTTTTTCCTATGTCGCACGGTCGCACTTTTACCATGTATCAATGGATTGGTTCAAGGGAACCTCTGCAGGAAACGATGGAAAGTAACCCTCAACAAGCCATGGGTTTCCTGCAGATGGTCACTTACACCAACTCTGGGAAGGCCCTCAAAGCGGCCTCGCGGGTCGGCATCGCAACAGATTGGCATACATAACCCAGACACAACCAGGTTGGGAAGAGTGGCCACTGGCCAATACATGCAAATACCATGTGAGAATTGAGCCAAGAATCTGGGAATAACTCCATCAACGAAAAGCGGGCTCAGTATTACAACGTGCTGCTTTGGGTGGCCAAGGCTAGACCACCTGCCACATTAGCCATGCGTTTCTCCAGCAAAGAAGCAGGGGGGACCGGGAAGAAGCACCCTTGTCAAGGAAACCCACCATGCCGGACACGATCAAGTAGAAGGCAAGCAAGGTGGAGAGTCTACTCTGCCCAGCTTGCGACCGAGCCACTGTCTTTTCAAAGGTCTCCCCGTTCTTTTTCCTCGGCAGCGGCGTCTCTTCGTTGGCCATGTCATGCTGTGAAAAAGTGATGAGCTCGTGTTGGTGCCAGACGACTGTTGGGAATATCTGCAATCCAGTCGGGGTTCGCTGGAGCAGCTTTCAGCAGGGCCCATGTGCCAGACCCTTTTGGCCAAGCACAAAGTGAAGAGGTGGAGTCACTGCTTCATATGCAAGCATGAAGAACCGCACCATTTCTGGGTTGAAAAACGGGGTGGTGTTAATAGGCACAGCTCTCCACCTGACCTACAGTGCATCTGGTCCCAAAAAACTGCACTTGCTTCGTTGAGGTCGGAAAGGATTCTTGCGAGGGCTTGTTTTTTAGTTGATCTTCACACCCACCAATCTAAAGACCAACTCAAATCTCCTAGTGACGTCCTAGTGATAGTAATTACGTGGTTGATGTTGCAATATTTTGCTGAGGCTCAAACTCTTTATTGTCTTGATAGTGTTGCATGTTTTCTTGCATTTTCTTGCTGAGGCTCAAACTCTTTATATATTATCATGTATATATTGTCTACTTGAGGTGGTGGGGAAGGGAGTCACTGCGCCGGTGCCACCATTTCATCACTCTCATCTTCACCTCCGTTCAGCCCCCGGTTCGGCTCCGCTCCTTCACCTTCCCCAGCAGTCCAGTCGGTGCAATCCCAGTAGCTCCTTCTCCAAGTAGTGGGACACCACTTGCTCCAGAGTCCGGTCGGAGGCCTTGACTCACTCAGTGACTGACGCTGCCGCGAGTGACGCAGCGGTGGCGCCGAAGGAAGGCGCGGCCAAGGCGACGCAGCTTCTTGCTCGAGTGACTTCTCAAGCGACGAAAGCCTATCTGTGCAACGGACAGAAGCTTTCCAGCATGTGACGGATTGAATCTGCATCGTTCTCGGCGGATGAACGAAAGAGAAGCGTCGTGAAACTGAATAGTGGGAAGCCCCAGTATCTACATCATGATTCTGACAAGTGTGTTTGCCTTTGCACAATGACTTTCCACATAGGATGCATCTTCTCCGATATCAAGTGTTTGCTGAATTGGAGGAAAGTCGGCCGACTTTACATACATACACATGTCAGAAGGGGCACCCAACTGCTACCGCTGCCGCTGCTAGTCACTAGTCACTAGTCCTACTGCCAGTTCCTACCTCCGCTACTGCTGCCACCTCCCAACCATCAGCTGCAGAGAAGACCATATAGAATATATGCCTACATTGACCCCTGGAAAATACCCCAACTGATCGGCAAATATGGCAGTCCCATGGGTCGTGTCTGGGTAAGGGATGTTTGCTCACTCTGTTCCCCCAGTGGCACCGATCGCCGCACCACTCGACTCAGAGAGTCTGGATGGAATAAGACGTAGAGCCGGGAGAGACGTCATGGGGGGTGCAGGTAGAGCCGGCTACCGGCCCCTCTTCGCCAGCATCTGGCACCCCCAAGCTTCATTCCTTTCTTCTTCTTTGTCTTCTTTCCTTTCTGCTTCTGCTTCTTCTTCTTCTTCTTCTTCTTCTTCTTCTTCATTCCGTTCTTCTTCTTTGTCTTCATTCCTTTCTTCTTCTTTGTCTTCATTCCTTTCTTCTTCTTTGTCTTCTTCTTCTTCTTCTTC